GAGATATTAATTTGTAATGATGACAATGACAAAGTAAAAAGAAGGAATAGCGTAGTTACAGAACTTCCAAATGAAGAGGAATCAAGGAGATTTCAAAACAGAACAGACTGTTTTAAGTATGGAAAGAAATTAATTACTTATAGAGAAACCTCAAAGAACATCACTAAACCTCTTATTAAAACACAAAAGAAGGAAAGTAAAAAGACTTAGGAAACACTAGAACCACTGCAACGAAGAAAATGACAAGAAAATCCACAAACAAAATGAACATAGTATGGAACAAAGAAACCAGCAGCCCCACAAAAAATGCACAAATGTAAGATAACAACAAAGCTCATACCTAATGATAATTCCATTGAACATCAGTAGATTAAATGCAGCAGTCAAGAGACAAAAAGAACATCAGCAGAATGGATAAGCGATTAGAGCAGAAATAAATTAAACAGAAAACAAGAATAATAGAAAAACAGAAAAATACTTAAAATGTAAATTTGACGGCTTGAAATTTTTCTTAGATAAATTAATGTTGTTATTTCTTTTTTTTAAAAAAAGGCTTACCAGAAATTCTTTTTCTTATCTTTAAAAACAAAACAAAACCCACTGCCATCAAGTTGATTGTAACTCATATCCACCCAATATAGTGTTTCCAAGACTATAAATCTTTATGGGAACAATTGGTAGGTATGAACCACTGACCTTGCAGTTAAAAGTACAACACTTAACCCACATCGCCACCATAGTATGGTTGTTAAGCAATGGTTTCAAACAGAAATGCTATTGTTTTCGTCATGATTTTGACAGAGCAGGCTGTCTCACTGGGCACAAAGAGTAATATAGACAGAGTATAAAGTAAAATTAATGAGCTTGAGTACTCAAAAAAAAGTATTAAGTTAGCAGATGTTAAGTTCTGTTGAGTCAGTTCCGACCCACAGAGATCCTGTATAGGGCTTCCCAGGAGTGACTGGTGGATTTGAACCGCCAACTTTGTGGTTAGCAGTCTAGTGCTTATTGTACAGTACCACACCATGACTCCAAGTTAGTAGTGGTTGTGTGTGTGTGTGTGGGGGGGGAGGTGTGGGGGGAACCGTTCAGGAAACTGATAAAAAGTGGCCAATGCAGTTATTCAGTCTACTTGTGCAGAGTAGTTATGAGTTGAAATGGACTCCATGGCACACCACCACCATCCTGAAAAAAAAAAATTGAATTCAATCCTAGCCTCAGCCCTACTTCTAGACTTTATCCTAGCCCTCACACTAGCTCTAACCCTAATTTTAATCCTTCTCTTAACCCTAAATCTAAATGTTAAAGGTAAAGCTAACCTTAGCCCCAACCCTAAACCTATTCCAAGCCTTAGCCCCAGACCTTGCCCTAATTCTAACACTAAACTCTACACCCTAAACCCTAATTTTATAACTAGATGTATTTCTTGCCAGAAACCTTTTCCTACATCTACTGCTAAACTTGAGAGTCCTGGTGTGATGCTGTAGGATAAACACTGGACTACTAACCACAAGGTAGGTGTCTCAAACCGAATAGTTGCTCCTCAGACATCCTATTCAGGGTGTCTATGACTCAGAACTGACTTGACGGCACTTAACAACAACAACTGTTAAACTTAGCCCTAGACCTAACCCCAACCCTAAAATAAAATAAACAACACGTGTCAGAGTTAATACTTTAAGCCCTTTCTAAGTCTTGCTCTTTCAGTCATAAATATTCAAAAACTGAGACAATTATATCCATGAACTTGCTTTTCATTAGGAAAAAAACCCTTTATTAATAATACTTTGTTTTAATATACAGGTGAACCCCAGGAACTGTCCCAGGTCACTTAGCTAATCAAAACAGTGACCAGACATCTACTCCACACTGATAAGCGTCAGTAGCCCCATTTTCCAAAATGAGATCACCAATGTTGTCCAAAAACTCCTGATGGGTGCTGGGGCTGAGAGTCCAATTTGGGACTGTAAGTTACCGCGGGCAGAGTTCTCTCCCTCATGACCTTCTGGAGAAGCAGGTCCTGTTTGTTGATGCCTGCCTAACTCTCCCAATTCCACCCTTGTCTTTCTGCTTTCTAGCATGTCTCTGATTCCCGTCCTCCACATTCTAGTCATGCCTGGGTTTGAAGACCTTCTGCCATGCCCAATGTTGGCTTAGAATTCTTTCTATCCCAGTACCCCACCTTTGGTTGCCTTCTCTGCTTATGGGCTCCTAGAGACCAAAATACTCCAAGTCCCCAGAGATCCACTTGAGGAATTTAGTCCAGGCCACCAGCTACAGGTTCCACATTGTCATGGTCCTTCTAACTCCTGTGAGACTCTACTCAACCTGCCCTAAAGCCCATTATTGGTGTCACCACCCAAGATCTCACAGCAGCCATAAAGAAGACCTACTTTAAAGATGAGTAAAATGAGTCTTAGGGAATTGGAATGACTCCTCAAAGATATAAAACCACTAAGCACTTGGAATGCTCTTGGAAATGAGGCATACCAGACTCCAGACAGAGAGGTCATCCTTCTAGTTCAATGATCAATTTCAGCAAACAAAATTTCCACTTCTATTAACTAAGGAGTTGCTGTTGGTTTTCTCGGGACTGGGACTTGCCTAGTTACCAGGGTTCAGACATCCTTCCACAAGCAACCGTGATGACTGAATGAGCCCTTCTCAGCACACACACATTTGTTTCCAAATTTAACCAGTTAGCCAGGTAAACAGAACAATATTTTGACATTCAACAGTCATCGTGACCCAAATAATAGCACGTAGGTCTCCAATTATACCAGTGAGCTGACTATATTAGCCACTTTTCTGTTGGCCTTTCATCCTCAATCACTACCTATGCTTGAGTAAAATCTCGTTCTTGATTTCTCTCTCTCCATTTTTATTTTTTTTTAAATCTCAGTCATTCAGCTAAAGTGGGAGGTAGGGGAAAAGAATGGGGGGGAAAGAATGGACCTTAGAGGCCAACAGTCCTGGGCTGGCCCCAGTCCAGCTCTCTTCTAGCTCTGCCCTTCAGTTTCCTTATCTCTGAAACAGGGATCTTGAAGTCAAGTTATTGGTCAGCAATTATAGCTCTTATTTAAAATGAATAAATTGTCATGTCAGGGTCTCTGAGAGATTTGTTAAGAGTGTGGCAGGCAGTCTGTTTTACCCGGTGCTGGTTGGTAGACATGTGGAAGTGTGAGGGTCCATGCCTGTGAGGCTCCGGACCTTATTCAGCTGGGATTCCACTCAGATAGGGAGCTAGCTGTGATGGCTTCTAGCCACAGGCCACTGTGCCTCCTGAGTGCCTTCCCAACACCAATAATCATGACTGCCACTATGAGTTTTAAGCTGCTTGTAGGATGGCTGAGCAGACTAAATGGAGGGAGGTCTCCGAGTTGTCAAAACCAGTACTTGTCAGCTTGTGTGCTGCCTGAAAGGATTTGACCACAAACAGATGCCAACTTTAAAACTTACGATGGTTTGCACAAAATCTAAAATTCTGGTTGTCTTGAAAAAAAATTAGACAGTTCTACAACCCAGAGCTCTCATCCTCATGAGTCAATAATCAGCTGGAGGTGAGGGGTAGCTGCTCCCATTGGCAGTGCAGTCAATTCACCAGTGAAAGCTGAAATGTGGGTATTCAACCTCTACATACAGCAAAGGGCCCATAAAAGATAGATATTACTGTCGTTACTTAGTACTTATTAGCAATTTGAGTGCCTGGCATTCAAGTTGAGGGATTGTGCCTTCTACTTGTCACTCTGCTCCCTCTGAGACTAGCTTGGAATGGACCCACAGAACACATCATTTGGATAACCCCTAGTTACGACCGAAGAATTCATAATTAGAACCAACACTCAAAGCCCTTATTAGATCTCAGAGACTATTCTAAGCACTGTGGCATATATTAAATTATTCAGTCCTAATGACAACCCTGGCCTACATTACTATCACTGTGTCACTTTTGCAGGCAGAAAAACTAAGTCAGACAGAGGTTAAATACTTTGCCCAAGAAAGGCCTTGAGCAGACATTGCATCAAAAAAAGAGACACAATTGGTCAACAAGTACATGAAAAGATGCTCAACATCATTAGTCATTGTTGTTATTTGCTGTTAGATCTCATAGAGATCAGAGAGACGTAAACAAAAATCACAGTGAGCTGCCACTCTACTTCCACTAGGATGGCTAAGATTAAACAAAAAACAAAACAGAAAATAAACGTTGACAAGGATGTGGAGAAACTGGAACCATTGCTGGTGGGAATACAACACAGTACAACTAGTCGGGCAGTCTCTTAAAAAATTAATTTCATGCAAGATATCTGAAAGCAGGTACACAAGCAGATGTATGTAGACAAGTGTTCAGTGCTGAACTATTCACAGTAGTCACAAGGTAGAAACAACCTAATAGTCCATCAACAGATGAATGGAGAAATGTGGTATGTACATATAATGGACTATTACTTTAGTCAAAAAGAAAAATGAAGTCCTGATATATGCCACAACATGGATAAACCTTGAAAATATGTTAACTGAAGATAATCACAACAGGGCCAAAATTTCACTTACAGAAACTTGAATAGGAAAAGGTCTAGAGACCAATGTGTGATTAGTGGTTACCAGGGGCAGGAGGGAGAGGGCAAAGAGAAGGAATTGTTTAGGACTTTGTATTTACGGTAATGGAAAATTTGGCCCCAATTATTGGTGAGAGTGATTAATGTAATTGATATCACCAAATTGTACATGTGGAAAATGTCACATTGGTATGGTATATATTTTAACCATGAAATAAAATTCAATAATCTGCTTAAGATCATTAAGCCAGAAAAGGGGAATCAAGGTTCCAACCCAGGGCCCTAGCCCCAGAGTTCAGGCATTCACCAACACTTTCCACTGCAGGATCTCCTCAGGGGCTGATGGAGGGTGGGACCTCACCTGCTTCCCGCCTCCCTCCCCAATTCCTCAGTGAGTCATCATCAACCTTTGCAACAGGTCCCACCACCAGGCACACTTACGGTCAAGTCCGTTGACATAGCGCATGGTGACTTCGCAGTGGCCCCACACAGCACTCACCACCGGGTACAGCTTCTTGCCCTTGAGGCCACGGAAGGCCACCCCCAGGTACTGGCCATCCACTACGAAGCTGAGTGTGCCCTCATCCATGTCCAGCACAACCAGCAGCGAGTCTGGCAGGGCGAAGGCCTCGTCGGAACCCAGGAAGGCCGGGTAGGCCACACCCGGCCGGTTCTTACCATCATGGTAGAGGCGGCTGCGGCCCAGGTCCCAGCCCCACGACTCAGTGTCACTGCCCACCAGTGCTGTGTAGCCCACCGAATGCAAGGGTGCGCGGGCCGTGGCCACACCAACTACAGCGTGGGTGCCGCGCTGCCGTGCTGGCCAGTTGATCTGCCAGGCGTGCAGGCCTCGGGCGTGGCCCACTTTTCCGCGGATGCCATCAGTGCTCTGGGCCACTGGGTGCCGGTGGAACGTGAGCCGGTCATCATCCTTGACGAAGACATTGAGCGAGCGGTCCTCAGGGTTCCAAGCATGCCGCAGCTGCACAGCCAACCCCACCGCTGGCATGTCCAGGAGCTGGTCCAGCCGCGCAGGCCGCCCTGGATCAGTCCCAAACAGCTCTCGCTTGGTGGGCCGCAGAGCTGGCTCTCGCACCTCCACCGACTTGAGGCTCCCCGAGAGTTTCTGGCCCATGGTTCACTGGGGGCAAAGGGCCGCTGCAAGCCACGGCTCCCTGGTGGGAGCCTCCACTCCCAGCAGCCAGGGATGGACCACAGGGCTGGGAACCAGGCTTCTGGATCGTACACCTCCACAGCCTCTACCAGGCTGGGGCAGGGCCACAAGCTCCTGTTAGGAAGCAAAGGACACGGGTTATAACAACAGCATCAGTAACCATCCCTGCCTTTATGCCCAGGCCTCAGCTGAACCCTTTACATGCAATAATAATAGTTGTTATTAATATAATGATTGTTGTTCCAACTCGTAACAACCCTGTATATGGTTTCTAAGGAACGGCTGATAGGTTTGAACCACCGACCTTTTGGTTAGCAGTCCAGCGCCACACTATTATTGTTGTTGTTAAGTGCCATAGAGTCGATTCCGACCCAAAGTGACCCTGTATAGGGTTTCTGATGGAACAGCTGGTGAGATTGAACTGCCGACCTTACAGTTCAAACAGCTTTGCAGTCTGGCGTATTAACCCATAGCGCCACACCAGGACTCTAAGGCCATACTGGTGGTGGTGGTGGTGGTGGTGGTTATGTGCCGTGGAGTAGGTTCCAACTCATAGTGCCCCTGTACAGGGTTTCCGAGGCTGTAAATCTTTACCGGAGCAAAAAGCCTCATCTTTCTCCCGCGGAACAGCTGATCGTTTCGAACTGCTGACCATGAGATCAGCAGCCCGATTCGTAACCACTAAGCTACCAGAGCTCCTTGTTGTTGTTGTTGTTAAGTGCCGTCGAGTCGGTTTCGACCCATAGCGACCCTGAATAGGGTTTCCGAGGCTGTAAATCTTTACGGGAGCAGATCGCCTCATCTTTCTCCCGCGGAGCAGCTGGTAGTTTCGAACTGCTGACCTTCTGGTTCGCAGCCCGATTCGTAACCACTACGCTACCAGAGCTCCTTCCAGAGCTCCTTAGGAGTACAATAATAGTGGTGTTGGTGGTGTGCCACTGAGTCGGTTTCGACTCATAACCACCCTGTATGGAGCTTCTGAAGCTGTGAATCTTTAAGGGAGCAGAAAGCCTCATTCTTTCTCCCATGGAGCAGCTGCTGGATTCAAACTGCTGCCATTGCAGTTAGCAGCCCTACTCATAATCCACCATGGTAACAGGGCTCGTTAATACATCTGGTGCTTACCCAGCTCTCGTCATATGTTAGAAACCGTTCCAAGCAATTTAGGTTTGTGAGCTTAATTAAATCTTATTGTAGTTGTTAAGTGCCATCAAGCTGGTTCTGACTCATAGCAACCCTGTATAGGGTTTCAGAGGAGCAGCTAGTGAGTTTGAACCACTGACTGTGGTTAGCAGTCTAGTGTTTATTCGAGAGTGCCACACCAGGATCCAGTAAGAGGTATGTTGTTGTTGTTGTTGTTAAGTACCGTAGAGTCGGTTCTGACCCACAGTGACCCTGCACAGGGTTTCTGAAGCTGTAAATCTTTATGGGAGCAGAAAACCTCATCTTTTTCCCATGGAACAGCTGGTAGTTTTGAACTACCGACCTTGAGGTTAGCAGCCCGATTCGTAACCACTACACTGCTATAGCATATAAGAAAACTGAAAGAGCAAAATGAGGCTACATAATTAGTTGAAGTCCCACAGTTACTAATAACTGAGCCAAGATTCAAGCCAAAGCCATCAGGCTTCAGGATGTAGAACGTGAACATGTTCTGTATTCATGTTGTTGTTGTGTGCCCTCGAGTCAATTCTGACTCACAGTGACCCTGATAGGGTTTCCTAGAGTGGCTAGTGGGTCTGAACTGCAGATCTTGTGGTTAGCAGTCCAGTGCTTATCCGACAGAGCAATCATAGATATTAATATTTAGGGAATAAACGCTGAGCTCTGAGAAGTTAAATCACTTCTCAAGACCACAGAACCTGGAAGAGAACTCAAGTGCATTTGATTCCAACACAAGCAGAGATTACTCATCAGGACATCACTCCTGGGGAAAAACACTATGCCAAGACTTGAGGAGACAATAAAGTTGCTCAAATCATGCAGAATGTAGACATGTAGGGTATGGTCCACTGGCTCCCAACTCTGCCCTAGGAAGTTTGAATAGCGTCATAAAGTGCAGCCTGGCTTGAGAACCAAGACATGAGCAAGGGTCTAGTAAGGCCACCCAAAAGCATAAACATAAGGTGGCCATCTGAGGATGGGGTGTGGGCTCTGTGGGAAAGTGGCGTGGGGAAGGGATAAAGAAACCAGTGTCCTGCCAGAAAGAGCTGCAACCAAATCCCTGTCTCCATGTCTTAAGCTGTGTGTCCAGAAGAAGGGCTCTTAGCTTCCTCGAGATGCCAATTTCTAAAGAAAGACTGCCAAAAACTAAAAGAGGCTGCCAAAAGCATTGATCAAACAAGAAGTGTGAAACACCAATAGAAGACAGGTGGCTGAAGATGTCAGAGAAACCTGACAAAGTCGGCAAGTAGCTGGATATCTCTGAAGGAAAAACCAGATTTCTTCTCAGGAACAATGGGAACAGGATATGAGGTCTGAGGGAAGAGGAGAGCAGGAATAATAGAGGAAACCGCAGGCCTGCCATCTTTCCAGGAAGCAATGGGTTGATGAGGCAGAGTGGGAGAAGGACTCTAAACTGAAATAAGCCTACTACTACAGATCTCTGCTGATGGGTAGAAGTAAAAATGAAAAGAAATTACTGTTACCATTCTGTGAACAGTTTTCTGTTAACAGGGAGCCATCTTGCTATCCTAAAATACTTCTCTGGTGCTTCCTCTATATGCAAAATGCTGATCCAAGAAGGCTCACCTCTTTCAAAAAGAAGCCAGCATGGAATTTACACAAAGATGTTCTAGGAGGAATGAAGAAGGAAAAGAACAGGGAAAAACGTGACTAATAAAGAAAATTCACCAGAAAAAAAAGTTGCCACAAAACAGATAAAAAAGTGTGACTGAGTTTGCCATCGTAAATTAAAAAAACAAAACAAATGTAATGAAACACTTTCCATTACAAGCAAGAAGAGATAGAAGGCTCAGGTGAATTAACTGAAAAAAAAAAGAAATCAGCAAAAGAAATAAGCAAAGGCAAAAATATACAATCATTCAGAAACGAAGGTCTCATTGGAAGCAGGACGAAAAACAAGTTCAGTTGAAAAGACATGAAAGACAGGATTGAGAAAAGTGAGCAAACTGTATAAAAAAATTTTTTTTAAAGTGATAAATATAGAAGAAAAAGGAGAGTTGATATGCTAGTATTTGTATCCCTGAGGAAGAAAAGTCAACAAATGGAACAGTAAAAAAAATAATAATAACTTTTAATAATTCAAGAAAACAGTATTGAAATAAAAGAAAGCATGAATTTGAAGAATGAAAGGTTTAACCCTATCTCAGGAAAAGGACACAGAACAAAAAACATAAACACGTATCTCAGTAAAGTTCTCAGATTTCTAGACATCAAGGCAAAAAATGGTCAAGTCCCTATAAGAAGAAAGGATATCAGGTTGGCCTCAGACTTTTTCAGGACAGCATTTGATGCTGGCAGACAGCAGATGAGTGCCCACAGAGTCAGTCTTCAGTGATGACTGCAGAGTTTTATGTCCAGCTAAACTTCAAGGAGCTCTGGTAGCGTAGTGGTTACAAATTGGGCTGCGAACCGCAGGTCAGCAGTTTGAAACTACCAGCTGTTCCGCGGGAGAAAGAGGTGTTCTGCTCCCGTAAAGATTTACAGGATCACTATGAGTCGGAACCCATTCCATGGCACATAACAACAACAAACTGTCATTCATGGATAAAAGCAACAAATGAATATTTTTGAACATGAAAGAATGCAGACCCCTCTATTAACAAAAGTTTTCTTAAGGAAACCACTAGAGAACATGCTACATTAAATATATGGTAGGGAAAATCACAATAGAAGGGCTGACAGTGAGAACTTTGTCCATCTAACTGTAGAGTAACTCAAGCATAATAACAATTGTGAGGATGGTCCAGTACTGGGCATTATTTTTTTCTGCTGTTCATGGGGATGCTATGAGTCACAAGTGACTTGACAGCACCGAACAACAACATAACTGTAAAGACTAAAATGAGTATTATATGAGAATATTAACATGACAAATGATGTCAATGTGGAAATAACAAAACAGAATCTGGATAGTGATAGAAAGAAAACCTGGCAGGTAGTGTAAGCATGTGAGTTCTTCTGTTTTTTATGGCCACAAGTCAGAGGATTAAAGTTGACTTTTTTAAACGTATTGCATGCATAAACATCTTTAAAAGTATAATGATAAATACTAGAACTAAGAAAAAAGATGAGGGTTGGGGCAAGAAGGCTGAAAGGGAGGAAGAGGTTGTTGTTGTGTGCTGTCGAGTCGGTTCCGACCCATAGCGACCCTTTATAGGGTTTCCAAGGAGCAGCTGGTGAACTTGAACCACCGAACATGCAGTTCAAATGACTTTGCAGTCTGATGCATTAGCCCACAGAGCCACACCAAGAGGTAGGAGGTATTTAATCCAAAAGATTTCAGTGGAACTGTAAGAAAACCAGACACTTCCTCCATTAGCTTACAAAGATAACTTTCTGAGGTTCAAGCTCACCAGTCGCTCCTTGGAAATGCTATACAGGGTCGCTATGAGTTGAAATTGACCTGATGGCACTTAACAACAACAACAACTCAATATAAGAAGGAGCTCTGGTAACATAATGGTTATGAGTCAGGCTGCTAACCTCAAGGTCTGTAGTTTGAAACTACCAGTTATTCCACAAGAGAAAGATGAGGCTTTGTGCTCCCATAAAGATTTACAGCTTCAGAAACCCTATGCAGGGTCTCTATGAGTCAGAACTGACTCCACAGCACCTACCCACTCACTATACAGCATTCCTTAACCTTCACCTCTTGAACGTTAAGTAGGTTCTAAGAAATAAGGAGCTCTGGTAGCGTAATGGTTACAAATTGGGCAGCCAACTGCAAGGTCAGCAGTTCAAAACTACCAGCTGTTCCACGGGAGAAAGATGAGGCT